GGATAACTCCTAGTCACATCTTAGGATAACTCCTAGTATTATTCGAGTAAATGTTGAATTAAGAGAGAAGCTTAGCAAATATAGAGTGAACTCACAGTAATAAACAGAACGATAAACCAAATCTTGTGCATTACAAATTAAAATAGAGAAAAAACTAAATCATGAAAGAGATTAAGAGGGCATTCTCTTTTACAACTTTCATAACTTGAACTTTCTTATGCATTGAGAGTAAGGTTACTTTTTGCCTCTCTCTACCGTTTCTTGTTGATGCTGCCTAGTCACTCAAATTTCATTCCAATGCAGGATGGTGAAAACTTGACCAACGAACAAAAATTGGATGAGATTCAAAAGATTAAAAATGCTCACGCTGATGATGAAGGTTAGTTTGTTTTATTTTATTTTATTTCTTATGGATATTGAAGAGTTATCGAAACATTGATGACAGTTTGAATGTAGTGTTTCCGTACAATTACGAGATTATCAGTTTCTTGCATGTAAAACAACTGAGCATGAAAGTTTGTGGCAGATGCTTGGTGTTGTTCAGTGTTATATATGGATGTTCAATATTCTTTCTTATTTGTCGTTACAGAATTTCCAGATGAAGTGGATACACCTATGGATATTCCTGCCAGAAAGCGCTTTGCAAAGTATAGAGGTCTTAAATCCTTTAGGACATCCTCGTGGGATCCTCAAGTATAATTCCTGTTATTCAATTTTGCTTTCACATACTATTTCTTAACATTACTCTAATTCACCAAAACCTCTCTATCTTTCTAATTCAGGAAAGTTTGCCTCAAGATTATGCTAGAATTTTTGAATTCAGTAACATTTCCAGAACACAAAAGCATGTTCTTGCTAAAGCTCTAGAATTAGAGCAAGGGAACAGAGATGACTGTGTGGCATCAAGCTCCTATTTAAGGCTGCATGTGAAGGAAGTGCCCATTGGTGCTGCTTCAAAATTGTGTGAGTTAGCAAAGTCAATGCCAATTACAGCTTGTGGACTTCTCCAGCATGAATCCAAGATGTCTGTCCTCCATTTCAGGTACTTATTGCTGTAACTGCCATCTATTCTTCTGTGAATAAATTCTAGCTTCTAACTAATATTGTTTCAGCATCAAGATGCATGATGTCTCTGAAGAGATATCCGATAATGTTGGGACTACTCAGAACTCCAAGAAGCATGATAAGAAATCTCATCCCCTCAAGGGAAAAGAAAAATTGGTGTTCCATGTTGGGTTTCGTCAATTTGTTACAAGGTATTTTTTTAACTTTTCGATAAGAGGCATCTGCCTTTTCACTTTTATATTTTTAGATAACCATCTCTCAAATTTCAGGCCAATATTTTCATCTGACAACTTTAATTCGGACAAGCACAAGATGGAGAGATTTCTACATGCTGGAAGATTTTCTATTGCTTCAATTTATGCTCCTATATCGTTTGCTCCACTTCCTTTGATAGTCCTGAGGAATGTCGAAGGAATATCGTCATTTGCTGCTTCTGGTTCGTTAAAGTGTATCGACCCCAGGCGGATAATTTTGAAGAAGATTATTTTATCCGGGTAATGAAATCTATGTCCTTGTCAACAAAGTAATGATTTTTTTTACCTCATTTGAAAATATTGTTTTCGTTATTCTCTTTATCAAACAATAGAATTATACTTCCAACAAAGGGAGAGGGAAAGGGGAAATGGTTGTCTACTAGTTTGTCTTAGTATGAAAATTTTATTATCTTATTTTGTTGAATTTAAGCTCTTTAAGCTTACCATCTTGAAATATTCGATCTTGAGCTTACGGTCAGCGAACAACTCAACATCAGTTCAATAGTCTATTATTTATTATTATTATTATTTTCATAAGATTTCTGTAGGTTTATATAGTTTTCGGAATTATTTTTCATGAATTAATCTGATGCAGTGGGGATTTCATAATTGTTAAAACTGAAAGCTGTCTTCCTTTTGTTATGTGCAGTTATCCTCAAAGAGTATCGAAATTGAAAGCTACAGTGAGATATATGTTTCACAATCCTGATGACGTGAGATGGTTCAAGGTAAGAGAATGCATATAAGTTTGTTAACTGTTACTTTTTGAATGGTATTAATTGAAATTGAACAGATCTTGTATTAGAGAATGCTCTATGCCCTCTTCTCCCGTTCTTAACTAAGACTTAGCTGGAAGGATGAATTAACTAGTGCTTTCTTCAAATTGGGGAACTTTTTTTTAAAGTATCGCTAATGATTCATTCTAAACTCAATTTTTCACAGGACAATTATATGCTTTTGGTTGAGAAACATAGGATCATAGTATAAAATTGAAATGATAAACGGAGGAATAAAGGAAGGGCTTGAACTCAAAGCTCTTGCATTGAATGGTTGCTATTTTAATAAATAAAAAATCCTTGCATGAAGATTATCACTTGCCATCGAATATATCTTATAGTATGGTTTTTCCTCCTAATGTTGAATGATTGATGCAGCCTGTGGATGTGTGGACGAAGTGTGGCAGACGCGGTCGTGTAAAGGAACCTGTTGGTACACACGGTAAGCTTCCCAATACCTGAACTTCAGTACTTACCCTAGACATGGCTAATAATCTTCCTCATGGGCCTATCTATTATAACATGTGGCCTGTTGTAATATTGTGCAACACAGGAGCAATGAAGTGTATTTTCAATGGAGTTTTACAGCAACATGACACAGTTTGCATGAGCTTATACAAGCGTGTTTATCCCAAATGGCCTGAACACCTCTTCCCTCTCCTTGATGTTTGAGATTGCCGTATGAACCAGATTGAAGTTTTGATGTATGTTTTTTTTTTTTTTTTTTTTTTTTTTTTTTTTTTTTTTTTTTTTTTTTTT